TATATTCTGAATTTTCTTCCTGCCAACTGGCAGGGAGGTGGGTGTTGGGTGGGGGGGCGGTCCTATAGCCTGGCTGCCATTTTGGATGGTAACTTTGGGAATGTAGGTTAAGTATGACTGAGCAACAAAATGTGAAAAGCCTGAATCCCTGTCACCAGCATGGGTGAACTGGTCCCACTAGACTACCTACGTCCAGACATTTTTACACCTTAAAAGATTATCTTCAGACTTGTTTAAACCTGTTATATCGGGGGTTTTATCTTGCAATCACACCCAATCCTGACTAATATCAATGGCAGTCATTATCTAATCCTGACTAATGTCAATGGCAGTACTTGCCGTATGATTGACTTCCCTGGTGGCTCAGATGGTAAAGCATCTGCCTACAGTGCAGGAGACCCAGGTTCAATCCCTGGGTTGGGAAGATCTTCTGGAGAAGGAAATGACAACCCACTCCAGTATTCTTGCCTGGAAAATCCCATGGAAGAAGGAGCCTGGTAGACTACAGTCCATGGGGTTGCAAAGAGTCGGACACGGCTGACTTCACTTTTCACTTTCACCATATGACTAGACAAGAGAACCTCTCCCAAATAATAGACTAATTAAATACCCACATTCTATACAGCCTCAGAGCTCACTTTTAAGTATAACTTAAAGGTGACGAGACTATCATTTGTGGTATAGAACAAAATGTGAACGTGATAATTAACAAGATAATTAATTTTCCTTTTCCCATGTTGCTACCTGAGAACAGAGACCAAGGGAAGGAGAGAAACTTCTGTGACTCTCTGCTGGGTAAGCCTGTGCGTTCTGTGAATGCAATCAAGACCACAGTCACATACGCCTGGCCATAGTGTGCACCCAGCCTTCTATTTTGCACTTCAATTTTTCTTAAGTATTTTTTGTTGTTGTTTAAATACCAAAAAGATGTATCTTTTTGGAAAACTCTCTAATGTACAAAAAGTTTATTCTCTAGAAGACACATACAGACACAATGAAAAAAATATAGCTATTGAAAATTATTAATTCACTTAGAGCATTACTGGATTTCTGAGCAAAGTTGCTTATTTTGCAGATTTTATGGTCTTTCTTAACTCCAAGATAGTGAGGGACAGGGAGGTCTGGCATACTGTAGTTCATGGGGGTCACAAAAAGTCAGACATGACTTAGCAACTGAACAACAGCAGTAACAACAACAGTATCTTTCTTAAGCTGAAGACTTAAATGATCAAGCCCTTCACTCTCAAGATCTTCATAAACTCAAGTGTCTTCAGGGCCATGTGGTAGGTTAAATAGCAACCAAGTGAGATGAGAAAACAGGAACCATCTATACGTCTTTGAACTGGGTTGACTGGGGGACTAACATCATCAGAGCCTTTGATTTTTTTGGAAGAAGTCAAAATATTTGCTTTTCTTTTTCTTTTTAAATTTTCTGATAATTAAAATTTTTAAGTAATTTATTTTAATTGGCTGTGCTGGGTCTTAGTTATGCCATGCAGTATCTTTGATCTTCCTTGTGGCAGACGGGCTCTTTCTTAGTTTCAGTATTTGGGGTCTAGTTCTTTGTCCCAAACAGCAAACCCTGGACCCCTTGCATTGGGAGTGCAGAGTTTCAGCCACTGGACCACCGGAAGTCCCAAGACTTGCTTTTTAAATGTTATCTTCTGATATCAATTCAAAAATTTAAAAATATTTAAATTGAACCAAACGGAACACCTCAGTGAGCTAAGCCCTATCTCAGGTTTTAGGTCTAGATGCAACTGCATCTGAGTTTGTGAAATCAGATTTTAAAATCTAACTTTAATTTGGCCTTATTATATTGCTTTAACTGATTACAAATTGCCTGAACCCAACATCACAGTGTTGGTTTAGCTTCTGCTGTACAACAAAGTGAATCAGCCACACATATACATGTATCCTCCCCTCCTTGGATTTCTCCAGGAAAATATTTAACATTGAAATTGGGCATCAGATAACTTTAAGCTTGTGACCTGAGGCAAATACTCAACCTCACTTTTACCCTCATCTTTAAACAAGTAAAAATAGTACCTAGATTGAAGAGTTTTTGTGAAGAGTAAATAAAGATTTCACATAGAGTGCTGACCAGTGATTTAGATCTAAGTGCCAAGAAAGGCTGGCAGTTATTAGCAGAGGCAATCAATAATAGAACTTGACTTGAAGAGAGACTAGATCTTTTTTTTTAAGAGATGGGCTTCCCATCTGGCACAGTGGTAAAGAATCTGCTTGCCATTGCAAGAGACACAGGAGACTTAGGTTCAATCCCTGGGTCAGGAGAAGGAAGTGGCAACACACGCCAGTTTTCTTGCCTGGAAAATTCCATGGACAGAAGAACAAAGGTATTTTGTATTGTAATATTTTTAGTGCATTTGGTATGTCTTCTTGATCATTTCCACTTCTTCAAGACAGATGATGTTTACATATGGTACATGCCCATAGGTGTATCTAGAATCTCATTAAAAAAGAATTCCATATATATGCATTAGTATATGGTATTGGTCTTTATCTTTCTGGCTTACTTCACTCTGTATAATGGGCTCCAGTTTCATCCATCTCATTAAAACTGATTCAAATGAATTCTTTTTAATGGCTGAGTAATAGTCCATGGTGTATATGTACCACAGCTTCCTTTAGAATTTAGAAAGATGGTAACGATAACCCTGTATGTGAAACAGAAAAAGAGACACAGATGTACAGAACAGAATTTTGGACTCTGTGGGAGAAGGTGAGGGTGGGATGTTTAGAGAGAACAGCATTTAAACATGTATATTATCAAGGGTGAAGCAGAGCACCAGCCCAGGTTGGATGCACGAGACAAGTGCTCTGGGCTGGTGCACTGGGAAGACCCAGAGGGATCGGGTGGAGAGGGAGGTGGGACGGGGGATCGGGATGGGGAATACACGTAAATCCATGGCTGGTTCATGTCAATGTATGGCAAAAACCGCTACAATATTGTAAAGTAATTAGCCTCCAACTAATAAAAATAAATGGGGAAAAAAAAAGAATTCCAATTTTGGGATGATATACATAAAACATTTTATAAGCATGTAATTAAGGAAATTAACAACTGGAAGTTTTCTTAAATTGTTGTTTAACAAGGAAAAATACAAATATTTCTATTTTTTCAATATGTAGAATTTTAGATTTTTTTTAATATGTGGAATTTTGAAAAGTGCTGATTTTTCTATAACTCTGCTCCACAAAACAAAAACCTTATTTTTGTTAAAATTTCTATCTACAAACTTTATAAATTTCTTTCATGTTATGATAGTGATCATTTAAACGTGTGTGTTTTAGTCCCTTAGTCGTTTCTGACTCTTGGCGACAGCATGAACTACACTCGGCCATGGTCCTCTGTCCATGGAATTCTCCAGGCAAGAATACTGGAGTGAGTTGCCATTTCCTTCTCCAGGGGATCTTCCTGACCCAGGGATAGAACATGGGTCCCTGATCCTGCATTGCAGGCAGATTATCTACTGTCTGAGCTACCAGGGAAGCCCAATTAAAACTTTGTATGATATAGTAAGGTAAACCATACAAATAATATCCAAGTCAGAAACTTTTCTAAACTTTAATTACTTAAGTGTATTTTTCCTGAATAATACGTTTATTTTTAACCACCCCAGATGTCAAGAGTTAAAGGCTAACAGTCCCCGTCATCACTCTTTCCTATGAAAATACTACAGTATTTTCAATGAGAGTGTAAACAAACCATTGTTTCAGGTCTTATTTACACTGGAGCTGTCTGGCAAAATTCCATACTTGATCTAGCTATTTGTCGTGATTCCAAGTTTTAAAAAGTGATCCTTTCTCTCTTCAGTACTTCCTCCTTGGCATCTACTTCTAAGACCTCTTTTCCCCATTCTGTATTTCTCCCCAAGACGTAGTTGTTTGAGCCACTTTTTAGGATAAAGTGTTATTATTATCTTTCTGACTGTAAGACTAATAGAAAAATCCTACAAGGCAGAAATAAATGTCTAATATATTGCTGTCGGTTCTTCGAGGCTTCAGTTTTCCTTTGACTAAGCCATCTTTTAACTAGAAAAGAGCATAAAATAGCAGAGACCCGGGTTGGCGCAGGAAAATGTCACCAGGTGAGGAAGAGGTGGAAAGTTTACACGAGCGAAGACGCGTAGATATTTTGTTTATACAGATCATCGTCTGTTAAAGCCAATATAGTGGAACCTGTGCAAAAGTTGGAAATCTAGTAGGAAAGGGAAAGACTAAAAACTCAAGGAAAACGTTAGAACAGCCGCCAGGACAGGGCGGGGTCGCGCGGCGCCGGTCCTGCCTCCAGCTGGAGCCGGAAGGGCGGACCCCCCAGGGGGCGGGGCCAACAGAGGGGGTGGTCCGGTTGGGGAGGAGCATACTCGGCATGGGCGGGGCCGAACCCTTGGGGCGGAGTCGGGGCGGGGCGGCATAGGAGCAAGGGCTGGTGGGAGACCTGAGCGCTCCCGATGAAAGGGGCCGCAGCACCTGATGGAGAACAAATGGCTGCTTCCGCATGTGGAGAACTTTTAACGAACACGTGAGGGAAAAAAGCAAAAAGCAAAGTCTGTGGAAAATTTAACTTCACAACTCTGGCGCCCAGGCCCTTGACGACAACCTGTTTGCTGTGTTCCCAGGGTCTTTGCCCACTCCCATTGTTGCCTCGCCCCCGGCCCCACGGCTAGAGCACAGCTCTCTCAAGCAGCCCCCGCCCTCCGCGGCCTGGTTTGGGAAGCCCTCTCGGAGGCAGCCACGCGGGCCCTCTGCGCCTGCTCCGCGCCCAGGGCCCCGCGGCGGGGCGGGGCCGTTAAGGAAGGGGCGTGTCTCCCGCCGTTGCGCGGGGGGCGGAGCCCCGCGGCCTGACCTGCCCAGGCGCAGGGTCCTCTGACGTCACCTCGCCGTGACGCGTACGCTGTAGGAAAACTGTAAGTTTCTGAGGATTCCTGAAGCTGCTTGGGCCTCCGGGGCTCGCCCAGCTGTCCGCACCCCTGGAGTCAGTGGTGGCCTTGGGTTCCGCCCCTGGGGCGGTCCGGGGAGCCGCCGAACGCGGTGACGGGACAGGTACCCGCCTGGGGCGGGAGCGCACTCTCGGTGGCAGGCTGGGCGGCAGTGCGAGCAGGCGAGGCCGCGCCCCGGAGACTCGCACGGTCTCCCTTGGGACCACAGTGGAGGCCAGAGAACGGGGAGTCCAAGGGAAGAGCCTCTTTTCTTTCTTCCTCGTAGAGAGGACTGAATTCCATCTGCCCTGGAGTTTGACATGTTGAGTCAGCGGTGCAGGGTTCCTGCAGAGACCCCCGCACATCTGGGCTTCCTTTGGGGTCCCCGCAGCTTCCAGATAGCTGAGGGCGAGCTGCAGGGATGGCCACTTGCTGCCTCAGTTTCCTTTTTTTGTGTAAAATGAAGGCATAACGGTCTCTGACCTCCCTAATGGGCATTTCCCAGGGCCGGGAGCGTTGTGAGAGGTAACCTTGCCAGGAGAAGACTTAAGCCAGTTGGTTATTCTGAGAATGTGGTGACCAGCGGCCATCTGACAGAGGTCTTGTAGGTAGGGGAATGTTTTCAAAATTTTGCCTTCTCTCCTATTTCCTCCCATCTAATCACGGACAACACTTGAACCGGACCACAGATCTGAATTCTTGTCTCTGAGCTTGGTGGACAGGGGTCAAGAAATCGCTGGTATCAGTATCACAATGTTCTCAGCAATTAAAACGCCCTCTTGTCTGGTGTTGTAGAGAAAGCGTCCTGGAATGAGCACAGTATACTCAACACAGACACACTGTGTTTTAGGGATTGTTGATCTGTCAGTTTGGAATATCACCTCATCATATGTTACTGCTTGACTTTCTTGGCTTGCCAGAGGTTGGTGCATTTTTGATGAGTTAGTGTATACTATGAAACTTCTCAAATTCAGGAGCAAGTGTTTGTTAAGAACTTTGAAAGGAAGACTATTGGGCGCCCCTAGGGTGTATTTATTCAGGAAATTGAACACAAACACTTGTGTAAATTCAGCTCAGGGGCCCAATACCCTTCAAAAATCCAAGTTTGAAGAGCCTTAGAAAGCAAGGGTTCTGATTTTTGTTTCTGATAGTTATTAGCTTGTGTCCAAAGAGAAGTCACCCAAGCTGGGAACTTTCTTTTTCTCCCTAAAATGGGAGATGATAGTATATGTACTGTTTCTTCCTAAAATGGGAGATGATAGTATATGTACTGTTTCTTTTTTGAGGATCAGACACAATCATGAAAATGAAAGGCTGGCTAAGTATTGTTATTAAGAAACTCCGGCCGGTCCACTGACCTGTATAGGAGATGTGTATTTTCAAAGTCAGGTTCTGAGTCAGAACTACAAATAGAGCAGCAAGTAGACAAAGTCGCCAACCTGGTGGAGCTCATGGTCCAGGGGGGTATCAGACATCAAAGAATAAGTACATAATGTTATTTCAGATGGTGGTAAGTGCAGTGAAGTCAAGGAAGATAAGAACAACAGCGGGAGTACAGGGCAGGTTGTTTGACATGGGGTCCATCAGGGAATACATTTCAGAGGAGGTGGCTTTGAATTGATGGAAGTGAGAGGAAGAACCTGAGGTAATGTGGGGCATTCTTCTAAACACTAAATTAGATTTTTACAAACTTCTGAGATGTGTGTTCATATCTCCATTTTTTATTATAGATGAGGATACCGGTGCACAGAAATGTTAGGGATGTGCTCATGGCTTCCCAGGTGGTTCAGTGATGAAGAACCCGCCTACCAATGCAGGAGATGTGGGTTCTTATGCTTGGGTTGGGAAGATCCCTTGGAGTAAGAAATGGAAGCCCACTCCAGTATTCTTGCCTGGAAAATTCCATGGACAGTGAAGCCTGGGGGACTGCAGTCCATGGGGTTGCAAAGAGTCGGACACAGCTGAACAACTGTGTGCTTGCAGACAGAGCTAAAATGTGATAGGGACAGTATTTGAATGTGGGTAGCTCGACTTCTGAGTCCAGACTTCAGAGGATTGTATGGTACTGTCTTGCGACAGGAGCAATAGCAGTGGTCTGAGGTGGCCAAGACATGGCAAGGGGAGAGTGTTTAGAACAAGGCAAGGAAGGGAGAAGGTGGTGGCAAGTAATACTGGAGGGCCAGCAACTAGGGGGACCCTTGTGGGCTAAGGGGGCAAGGGTGTGTGAAGACGCTACTCTGAATGTGATGGGAAACTACAGGGAGCCTTGCATCAAGGGAATAGCACCTGATTGAAGTTTTCTTGGAGGGAGAATTAGCAGTAGGGCTGTGGAGTGGGGAGTATTGAAAGTGGGGAGATGGGCGTTTCTTACTGTCGCCTGGGGAGAGATGACAGGGGTTTGGGCTAGGGGAGATAGTTGGTGAGATGATGGTATATGGTCAAAGTCAGTATACTTTTGATGCTAGAAGTTGGAGTGTGAGAAGAAGGAGAAGTAATGATTTCTCTGGTTTTAGACTGAAACAGCTGGATGGACAGTGGTGATGTTTTCTGAGAAGGGAGGAAGGGGTTTGGGAGGACAACCATGAATTCTGTTTTGGGCAAGTTATAGATGCTCCATAGACACAGTAACAGGCTTCCCAGGTGGCACTAGTGGTAAAGAACCCACCTGCCAGTGCAGGAAATGTAAGAGATGCGGTTTTGATTTCTTGAATTGGGAAGATCCTCTGGAGGGTGGGATGGCAACCTCTCTCCAGTATTCTTGCCTGGAGAATCCCATGGACAGAGGAGCCTGGAGGGCTGCAGTCCAGAGTGTTGCAAAGAGTTGGACATGGCTGAAGTGACATAGCATGAACTTGCATGCAGACATAGTAACAGCAGTCCCAGTGCTGGTAATAGCAGTAAGCTCCATGTCAGTGTGAACTGTGTGCTTGGCTGCGTTTTAAGCACTTTTACACATGTGAATCCATATAATTTTTACAACACTTGTGTGTGTGTGGAGGAGCCACAAAAGAAGCCGGCTGTCTCCTATCTTGGGAGTGATGGAGCTGGGATTCAGACACAGGCAGTCTTGTTTTAGAATCTGTGCAGTTCATCCCTGTAACTCCCACCAGATTGACACATTGAACAGGCTCTTGGATGTAGGAATATGGAACTCAGAAGAATGGTCAGGGCTGAAGATACACATTTGTATTTCTGAAAAGAAAGTTTGCTTTTGTTCCTCATTGTGTTTATTCAACATCACATTAATCCAAGGCTATGCCCCAACCATTAATGCCGAAGAAGCTGAAGTTGAACGACTTGATTCTGGGAAGATCTACAAGACCTTCTAGAAGTAACACCAAAAAAAGATGTCCTTTTCATCATAGGGGGTTGGGATGCAAATGTAAGAAGTCAAGAGATACCTGGAGAAACAGGCAAGTTTGGCCTTGGAGTAAAATGAAGCAGGGCAAAGGCTAACAGAGTTTTGCCAAGAAAATGCACTGGTCATAGGGAACACCCTCTTCCAACAACATGAGACAGTTCTACACATGGACATCACCAGATGGTCAATACCAAAGTCAGATTGATTATATTCTTTGCAGCCCAAGATGGAGAAGCTCTGTTCAGTTAGCAAAAACAAGACCTGGACATGAGTGTGGCTCAGATCATGAACTCCTTATTACAAAATTCAGGCTTAAGTTGAAGAAAGTAGGGAAAACGAAAACCACTAGACCATTCGGGTATGACCTAAATCAAATCCCTTGTGATCATACAGTGGAGGTGACGAATAGATTCAAGGGATTAGATCTAGTAGACAGAGTGCCTGAGGAACCATGGACAGAGGTTTATTGTACAGGAGGCAGTGACCAAAACTATCCTCAAGAAAAAGAAATGCAAGAAGGCAAAGTGGTTATCTGAGGAGGCCTTAGAAATAGCTGAGAAAAGAGAAACAAAAGGCAAAGGAGAAAGGGAAAGATATACTCAGCTGAATGCAGGGTACCAGAGAATAGCAAGGAGAGATAAGAAAGCCTTCTTACAGTGAACAATGCAAAGAAACAGGAAAACAATAGAGTGGGAGAGACTAGTGATCTCTTCAAGAAAATTGGAGATACCAAAGGACAGGGAAGCCTGGCATGCTGCAGTCCGTGGGGTCGCAAAGAGTCAGACCCAACTGAGTGAACAATAACCACCACCACCAAGGGAACATTTCATGCAAAGATGGGCACTGTAAAGGACAGAAACAGTAAGGCGCTAATAGAAGCAAAAGAGATTAAGAAGAGGTGATAGGAATACACAGAGGACCCTTGATTCAGCCCTCAGGTTATATGAAACACCTCACCTCTGGAGGATCCCAGGGGACCCTCAAGGACCTTCCCCCCTCAAGGTTACTGTAGTCAGATGGCATCAACTTCCCTCTGAGGGCCAAAGTTTTTATGTGGGAAGATGCTGTTGTCAAAAACTGGTTATGCTTTCTGGCAATGCACTCACCACATGGAAATCCCTATATGTATATCCCATGTTAATTTATTAAATTTCAGTTGGAAAGGAGGCATTGTGTATGATGGAATATATGTAGGGAGTCAGGCTGTCCAGTGTGCAAACTGCAAGGCAGTTGATGTAGTTGGATTCAGAGACTAGATGAGGCATAGAATACTATTGGTATGTGTGCAATTGCATAAATATTAAATTATGTTTTTGAAGTCCATTTTCATTCCTGGAGCTCAGATTTCATTTGCTATTGTGTATACTTTATATACCCAAGGACATCGCCTCAGGGTTGCAAGCTCTTTCAGGAGATTTTATGCTTATATCTCTGTTTTATATAGTAGAATAAAAATTGAGTTCACTTCAAAAAAAGAAAAGAATACACAGAGGAACTATAAAAAAAGGGTCTTAATGACCCAGATGACCACAATGGTGTGACCACTCACCTAGAGCCAAACATCCTGGAATGTGAAGTCAAGTGGGCCTTAGGAAGCCTTACTACAAACAAAGCTAGTGGAAGTGATGAAATTCCAGCTGAGCTATTTAAAATTCTAAAAGATAATGCTATTAAAGTGCTGCACTCAATATATGAGCAAATTTGTAAAACTCAGTAGTGGCCACAGGACTGGAAAAGGTTAGTTTTCATTCCAATCCCAAAGAAGGGCAATGCCAAAGAACATTCAAACTACTGTACAATTGTGCTCACATGCTGCTGCTGCTAAGTCGCTTCAGTCATGTCTGACTCTGTGTGACCTCATAGACAGCAGCCCACCAGGCTTCCCTGTCCCTGGGATTCTCCAGGCAAGAACACTGGAGTGGGTTGCCATTTCCTTCTCCGATGCAT